GAGGACTGCTGGCGGTGCTCCGGAGGACTGCCGGCGGTGCTCCGGAGGACTGCCGGCGGTGACATGAGGACTGTTGGCGGTGGTGGCGCGGCCGGCACGGCAGCAGCCACCCCCGCAGAGGGCGGTGTCAAGTGCGGTCACATCATCAATGTCTGTCGCCCCACTAAATCATCACATCATCACATCACCAGGTGCTCTTAAGTAAGGGGACGTGAGTGTATCGTTTCTTTATTTAGGGTTTGCAATGATTGTGCGGGCCGAATGACGCAAATATGACGCATGCATGTCTTACACTGATGCTTTCGTATTCACAGCAAATAAACGGACAGAAATGTGCATTCATTACTCGCTCTGTCCGAAACGAAGACACTACGCAACACCTTGAAACAATAGGAAGACCCGTTGACTTCCCATGTTTGGATGCGAAGAAGCGTTGCTTTTCAACTCCCACACTGTTGAAAAGCACGCTTGATAACATTCTGGAAGTAATGTTTTTGTGTCAAGCTTCGAACTACATTCAGTGTACGAATTATTTGGTTATCATGCATCTCTCCTGGATTGCACTGTCCAAACTCCATCAATGGTCTCAACAATTAAACAATCTCTACCAGTTTTTACGGGAGGATTGAAACGGGGTGTAAGAACCGCGGATGGAACGACTCTTTGGACTACCGTCCTCGTTTGGTGTGTTAGTCGGTACACGTGTACTTACGTAAGTGTGAGAGTATGCTAACACACCGGACGAGGACGAAAGTCCGAACAATCGTTCCATTTGTAAAGCTCTACGAAGGCCTTGATTTTTTTATTTTTTGCGTGCAAAAGTCGATGCTGTATTGTCCGCGGTCTTGAAACATCTCAACGCAAAAGGGGGCTCCGGAGTTTTATGGAACAATGATCATTCACTGTGCCACCAAACGGCAATGCAGACTGGTTCACAGCAACACGATGAACTGCCAGCAGCCTTTTTGGAAACCTTACTAGCCAGCTAAACACCTGAAATCGGACGCAAGAGCAATCGTTTGTTACCACCCTGTCTGTTTGGTGCGAGCCGTGCTCGCTCCCTCCCTGTGCGCCGTCCCATAGCGGGGCTGGGGAGGGGGGGGGGGGGGGGTACTCATCCCATCGTAATCCGTCGGTGGCCGGGCCCCACGTCTCTGGTCCTGCTGTCCCGTGGCACCGCGCTGCTATTTCAGACCGGACCGTCATGCTGAGCTGGTGACGTCATGCCACGCCGGTGCCGGTCACATCCGAGGTGATGCAGGCATGGGCTTGGGCGGGCGTTCTCTGAAGTCACGTCAGCGAAGGCGGGCGGTCTGGAACGAGTGCGTTTTCCCCTGTCCGCGGCCGGAGAAACGGCTTTAAATTGACGAGAATGTTCTCCGGCGTCCGTCGCTTCGGCGGAGCGGGGCCACGGATGGCGGCGCCTGTCAGGGGATTGCCAGCCGGGGTGGGAAGGTGTTTACTGCCTTCCTGAACGTGTGTCATGCGCGTCAAAAAAATAAAGCAAGGAAACCATTGACTCGTCGGTAACAAATATTACTGTTTTAATGTAACTACGTAACCCTAAAATGTTTAATTGTCTGCGTTAGAGGACGCAAGTTATTGTCAATGAGCAGAGCAGAAAAGCAGAAACAAGAGCAGAAAACACGACTCCGAGAGGCTTTGGTTATCACGTAATACTGCGTGTAGACCATCCTGGCTTTTTACAAAATATGCACCATGAATTCGTAATCAACCTTGACAAGCTTGTGATGACACTTAAGAACATTTTCCTGTGATCTCGGAATTGACGCTTCCAGGAGTGAATCCACCACTCTCCCCGCCCGGCTGGCCATATCACTAGCGGCCCAGAACGCCTTTGCAGAGGGTCAAAAGATATCACGTGCAGATTTTTTGTCTTCATTGTGCCTCCACGTCAATTACTGTGCCCGGAAAATACATTATCCTCGTCGGCCGGAGGCGGTAGTCACTGCATTCCAGAGACAAGACGTTGGTTATGACGACCATTTTTGCCCCTGGTAGCTCTGATGAGGTATGCGATGAAAGTCATGCTTTCCGCATCTGCTCCCGAGGCTGAAGATAATGCCGGTCTTGAGCTCAAACCCCGCCCACTTTTAGTCAGTTCGCAGTGTATTGCGGAACGCTTGGTATGCATGCTTCTCAAACATGATTCAGCAGCTGTGGACGGCTAACTATAAGTTGGATCTGCTTCGGTTTGTTGTCTTAACGGATGTTACATTTTTATTGGATTGCACCTGTGGCCACTGGCGCTGAACATCCCTTGGATGCGCTGCACCGCCCCGTGTCACTGGTGCCCACGTGTCACTAGCCAACACTGAGCTATGTGAGTAATTGTTGATAATTCTCCCACCCTTTATCCTCATTATAATTCTCTGACACTTCCAAAATTCT